GAAAATATCCATATGGCATTAGTTTCCCACAATCATTCATTTCTTTCAGACAGTGTGCTGTATGTCAGAAGTACAGTAACAAGCAGGACAACATGACAGACAAATTGCCACAATCACTACCCATCTCAGCCTGTGGAGAAGGAGCTGCATGTATCTCACATTTCAGGACAGGCATGTATAGGATTTTGAAGCTTCCTCTGGGGAGAAAATAACAGGACCCAACACAGGGAGAAATGTGAGAAAATTTTAGGCTCGAGTTATTCAAAAGGAGGTTTTTAACCATGTACACGGTAGGTCAGAAACTGGAATGCACATGTTAGTTGAATGACATTCTTCTCTTCAACAGAACGTTGATCACTTGCATACAGAGTTTTCAGAATAGTTCAAGGGAATACAGAGTTGGTACAGAGTTGCTGGATCTAAATGCTGTCATTTACCCGTGTAATCATCATATAAATCTCACCACCCAACAAAATCAAAAATCTAGAGTTTAGACTCAAAGAAGAAGAATGGATATTGTGTAGTAAATGCATGAGCTGCAGAAGTTTTCTTCTGAGTACTTAAAAACAAAAAACTGAGAGATCCAAGACTTGCAATGATGTAACAGTATGCTCAAAGGTGATGCATTTCAATTAGGAAGATTCTTTGGTTTCACCTGGCTATCAGTGTTATTTTAGTGTCTGTTCTGTATTACACTAGGACTGATCTTTCCTTGGCATGAATAATCAGGCAGTATTTAAACAGCTTAAAACACTCTATCAGAACAATCTAATTGTAGGACACAAACAAATGGCGTTACAACTGCAAGAAATCCAAGAAAGACAGACAACAAAACTCACACGAGGGATTTGTGCAACTAGAGCAAACATGTAACAGACACAAGGATGTGTAATTAAAGCACAGTCACAAAGGAAATCAAAGACAGAAGGGAATCTTGTCTATAATTGCTAAGTAATAGACAAGTAAAGACCTTTTCCATTTGTTTACATGTTGATAAAATGTTTACAAATATAATCTAAACCCAGAAACTAATGTTTGTTACACCTGCAGCAAGCATATAAAAATAAAATAAAATTGGCACACCAATGACTGAGCCAGGAGAAAGACGATTGACTATGCTGTACTTGTTCAGAAGACTCAAGGTATTCTTCCAGGTTAGACTTCAGCCCAGAGAGCAGCCCTTAGATCATCAAATAGTTACTAAGAGAACCATAACTGTAGCTTTGTAGACTTAAGACATTGTAGACCCTGAGCCTGAAAGCTTTACTCAAGCAATACTTCATAATGCAGTACAATTCTTATAGTAGAAAAATGGAATCAAACACTGCTGAACTCAAAGGAAAATCTCCCACTCGCTCCCTACGGACAGGGTGGCACTCCATGGGTCTACGTGGGACGGTGCTACTCCAGTGGAACTGCAGTGGGAAACTGCTGCTAAAAGCTCTCCTTGGCCAGCCGGAATTCAGTTTTGATCCTGCTTGTACACCAGGGCAGATGCACAGTTTTGAAGTCTGAGACAAGGAACCAGTTCTCTTATTTATAAGAGTGGAAATCCAAAGGGGTATCTGCAAAGCAGAAGTCCACAGATTCTGGCCAAACCTTTTAATTTGAGAAAGAAATAAAATCTTTAGACTACAAACACAATAAAATATGAAAAGATCTGAATATGATAAAAACCCCTGAAACCATGCTCCGCTGCCATCTTAGGATACAATCCAGCAAGGCACTTGGATATATGCTTAGCTTTAAGCATGGAATCAATTCTACTAAAGTTAAGCTTTGCTGGATATGGGCAATCTTCTTCTGAGTTGTATTAGTTTTCAGTGTTAGTACGCTGGCAGTTTTCAGATCACAGTAACAGTTTTCCCTCTCACATCCAGCAGCCTCCTTTTCACTCAAGCTGAACATTAACTTACACAACATGGTAAACACACATTCCAAACTCAGCCAGCTAACTTTTGCAACAGTTAGTGCAACAATTTTACAGACACAATCTGAACAGCTGCCATACAGAACTGTACTAATTGCAGAGAGCCAAGCACAAATCTCTCCTTTTCTTGACGGGAAAATGGCAAAATTTGTAGTGGCTTCCTGACCACATGAGCAAATTATTATTTTTTTTTGTATACATGTGAAAGGCACTAGTCTGCTATTACTCAGCAACAGCCTCCTGAATTACTGATACATTCTGATGTGGGTTTATCTGTTGTACAACAATTTGTCAATCAGACCTTTCTCGGGCCATTCAGTTTATCTGCATGGCTTGGTCTGTAACTGCCACATTTATTTATTTTAGCATATGGATAGTGACTAGTAGGGACTCTTTAAACTACTTCATGTGATTATGTGCCATCAAGGCCCTGATACAGCATCTAATAATTCTTTGGCAAACAATACATCCCTGGTCATGTGGAAGTGTCAGAATCTTGCTAATGTTATTTATAATGACAAGTGGGGCGTGATACCCATCTCACAGCAGAAAATGCATACGAGACCAAGTCATGAAATGCAGCATTGGAATTCACCATAAATTGTCCTGAAGTGAGTTTGCATATTAGGGAGGGCTATAGATGACAGGACTGGCTGTGCGATTTAAGGTCAGAGTTACCTTCTGAGACTTAGCTCTTGCTACAATAGAACACTGATTTTCTGGAGCAGGTGATACTCAGTTTAGGCAGAGTAATTCTAAATGATGCCTGAAGAATTCCTGGCATTAGCAAGTACAACTTCATGCATATTTAGGCATATTTGCTGCAAAACAAATTGGTGACCCTACTCTTCTAAAGCTGCCTGGTTAGAAATATGAAGGTACAGTACAATTTGCTAAGTGTGGCACTGTGAACGTTGATGCCGTCATCACTGTCAACTCAGCTGATCACCAGGCATTCAAAACTACATTTTGGAACTACTCCTCCGTAGTGTAAAAAGACATCCAAGCTGCCTGATTCTGCTCAGAAGCGGAAATGTTTGCTTGGAGACAGCTGGTTCTCCAAGCTCATCCAACAGCAGAACGCAAGGAAAACCAAATTTACTGAGCCTCTCTCACTGCTCCTTTCAGCCTGACATCTAAGCCACCACAAGATTTTCAGCCTGAAACTGTCCTTAAACTCCTTAAACACAGCAGGGCAGAGAGTAAGAGTAGACAGGGATGCTCCTACAGTGGTGCCAGCAGTATGCTGCATCTTCACGGCCTTTCTGCAACAGACGACTCATCAAGATGAATGTGAATTCCATCCCCTCAGCTCTCCACTGCGGCAAAAACGTCTTGAATGCCTAGAAATGGGGTCACCAGCATACTTGACATCAAATGTGCTTATTGTCATGCCTGCCTATTCAACAAGGCTAATAATGCTGTATTTGTTGCCATCCTTAGGACCGGCTGGTTTAACTACAGAACTACTTAATTAAGGTGAGAAACCCTAAATGGATATTAATACTGACATTTGTAACAAAGTGTAAAGCAAATACCAAATACATTGCTCTTTTTTCCTTAGGATTACATTGAAAGGATCCAATTCTTGAAAAAATTCAATGGCAGAACATTTGTACCAAAACAATTTTTAAAATATCCTTAACTGTAAACAGTATTCTGTATATGAGCTGTCTGAACAGAATTATACATCATATATGTCAAAATAAGGAACTTTCTGATTTAGTGCTTATTTGCTAAGTTTTATAGTATGTTCTCATTGACATAATAATGGGATTTTTTATATATAGTCTTAAGTGCAAAATATTAATATATTTTAAAATGCATCAACTGTTAGTTGGTAAGATTTGGTTTTGGTTTATAAAAATTAAAAAATTTTTAAAATCTACATACAAATTAACTGTGCTTCTTTAGAAACCTGTGATCATTTATATACAGCTTTAAAACATTTAGTAGCAATTCATAATAAGCTGTGTCAGTGTTTTGCAATCATATGACTGTTACAATGTTGAATGTTACCCATTTTTTTTAATACTCTGGGTCAGATTTTGCTGTCAATTATAACCAGAGTAATTCCTTACATCAGATTTATGCTGGTGGAAAGGATATCAAAACTTGGCTCCTACTGGGGATTAAAAAGAAGTGTATCACACTTCAAAACGTGTGTGCAGTCAAATCAAGGACAATATTCGTGTGACAGACTTGCTTTTTTCTAGGTGCTTCTTATCTGCACTGATCAGTGTCAGACACTCATTTTCCTTAACTTTCTGGGAATAAATGAAAAGTGGAGAAGACTACACCAGTTTCTTCACTGATTAAACAAGCTTCTTCCCCGCCCCCAACCAAATCAAATCAAATCAAATCAAATAATAATCAGGGTGGGTTTTGTTGTCAGAAAGTCTGGATTATGTTCAGATACTACTCTCAGCTGATAACAATAACCAATAGTTACTGAGCACCCAGTTGTCTTTTATTTGTTTAGTTCCTTATAAATTTACACAATGGGCTTACAAGGGCCAATGCAAAGTTCTTCTTGTGGTGTAATATTCCACAAATGTTAGTTTATATTTATGTATAGAGCATTCCTCGTTAACGGTAAAACGTATTTTTCAAGTATGAATTTCTGCATGTAATTCTCTTCTTCAGTATGCAGATACTCTGACTTTTAGTATGCATCATCACAAGTGATACAACATACAACCATTTCCTCTTCTTTCTCTGCCACGTTGTTCATGTTCATTGAAAAGAGTGATAAATATTCAACACTGCCATCAAAAACTGTCAGTGCAATTCCTCTATAAGCAGAGCACTTGAAGGGGGAAATGATGTCTTCAACAGTGCATGCCATAGTATATGCCTTGAACTTTCTGGTCCTGTAGTTGAGATATTTTGACCGAGCCAAGAAAAGTTCTGAACTTGCCTCTTATTCTTCAGCGGAAAGTAAATGTCAAAACCAAATGAATTATAAAGATTTTTCTCTCATTCTCTTGCTAACCTTGGTGGTGGTGGCTGATTGTCCCAGCAATGGGTCATTTTAGAGTTCTGCGTAAGTTCCACACAGCCTTACAACTGAGCAGCAGTATCCAAAGAGAAGGAAAATGCTTTGGTTGCTTCAAGCTAGCATGTTAAAAGAAAGTTATGCTTTCCTTCCACACAGGTAGAAGTGCTTGTTAGCTGATGAAGCAGGAACAACACTCAAATTACTGATGGAAAGAAGGTAGAGAAATTAAATGCCTCCTCGCATTTACAGCACATGAAATCAGAAGAATTTCAGTCTCTCTCCTTGTTGTGGCTTAAAGTTCTTCTCGGCACATAGGGAAGTTGACAAAGGTGAAGACATTAAACTCTATCAATATAGAGAAACACAGGAAAACAGCATAAAGAAACAACACGTAGATGCCTAATTTCCTGTCAAGTTTCCACTTATTTGCATGGATTCCAAACACCTGCAAGCAAACAAAGTGTTAGTTAATTAAGCCCCAGAGGAGACTTTCGGAACACGCGTTATAAGCTAAAAATTGAAGTCTTTTGAATTTGAGATCCTGAAGAAAGATAAAAATTTATTCTCAGTATTTTATAGATGAAAAAAGCAACATATGAAGCCTAAACTAAGAACTCAAACTCTGGCCTGACTCTCAGTTGTCCTAAGATCCTTTTACAAAATCTTAAAAGAACCCACTTTAAGTTCTTTACACAAGTGAGAAACAGGCCCCTAGATGCTCAGTTCCAGTCTGTGGTGCGTTTTCAGTACAAGGGGCACCTTCCAACCAGGCAGCACTCCTTCACTGATTCAGTATGAACTAAAGGAGTGCACTGAACTGCACGAATGCCTCTCCCTCCAGTGTTCCCCTACAGATCCTTTATGTAACTCCCAGTAGCACACCAGCACCTAATAATGTTCATTCTTTCAACAGCTTCAGAGGAGGTGCCTTTGATGTTTTGCTCAGCTCCAGAACTACGTGTAGCAAAGCAAAGAAATCCTCACGAAGACATTTACTTTCAATAGTGTTGAGCGCCTCGATTATTATTTGTTTTGCTCTAAACTCTCTGCTGAGTTTTTCTGGGAAGGTCTGTGCAAATCAGAGTATGCAGCAGAAAAAATGAGACAATAACAGATGCTTTGAACTCAGAGGATATGGCTTCTCCTATGAAAAGAGTCTTTTCAGAAAAGCATGAACAGCTAGCAGAGAAGCACATCTGCATAATCCTTCCACATTTTCCCAAAGTGCTGATTACCAACATGCATGCAGCAATATCAGATACAAATGCCTACAAAACATCTTTGTTATTTCGCAGGCACTGTGCAGTATGGCAGAACTGGGGCTAAGAAAAGAACAGAGCAGGCTCCCACAGCTTATATATCAGATGCATTAGGAAGTTAGTCACAAAGTGAACAGCCCAGGTCATTCCACCACTTTGGTCATGCACAGGTGGTGTGGGGTTTTGTACGACCTAGTCATGCAACAGTGTGAAATCTGCAGTGAAGATCCACTCCTCTACAGAGCCTCTACAGACCATCCACAGGCAATCGGTGGAAAACATTAGTACAAGTGCATATTTTTATACCTTTGGGATTTGATTCTTCCCATAGAGGGTTCCCTGGGAGTCAGCAGGATCAGACCTTAAGTACCAGCAAAATTGACTTTTGAAACAGAATTATTGCTTCACCTTAACAAGTCATGTGTTACAAGGGTAAGTGTCTTATGCTGAAAGATACTCAGCATGTCTATTCAGCATCCTGAGGTTCAGAGTCTTCACACACTAGTCATTAAGAATTTGGGCTGCAGTACTTGATTAGTCCAGGCTGGTTTTGGAAATAGAGACAAGGGCAAAGCATGATGAAGCATAACTGGGTTTTGTCCCAAGACAAAGTAGAGACAGGCCTGGGGTGCACAGCTGGACACAGGAGCACAGAAGTATTCCTGGATCCCACAATTTCAACCCTGCCACTGAAATCAGTGGGACCCACACACATCCAGCATCTCTTGCACCAAATGTCAGATTTCAGTCCTCACTGAGGACAATGGTAATGCTTCAACTCATGGTATTGCTAGAAGAATGACACTTTGCAAGAATCGAAGCTTTGGGGCTAATAAATATTTCCATTTTGTCCTTTTATAACATGTAAATACTTAACAAGTATTTTGTAAATGGAATGCTTGGAGATACTCAAATACTTACAGTAAGTGCCACTGATCCGAGCAAAAGTCCAACTGAATAGACCAGTCCTTTGCTGTTTATCCTAACCTGTGGGAATTAAGCAGATAAGAGACATTTAAAATGCTCAGCATACAGTAACTGTGGTTTGCAGATCAGAAATCAATTTACTGATTTATGGTCCACTTGTTATTTTCAATAGTGACTGACTTACACATTTTAAACTATGCAAATCCATGACATATTATAATGAAGAATGGGAAGATTAAAGAATTAAAACAAATGTATAGGTAATCCCACTTCCATAAAAAAGAAAGAAAGAAAGAAAGAAAGCAAGCAAGAAAGCAAGCAAGAAAGCAAGCAAAGAATCAACATTTATAATGGACTTAATTCTAAAAGATCCTCAGGAGTGAGAGATATGCTGTTATTCTTTTCTTAAAAGACAAAAATACTAAGGTACAGGGAGGCAGATAGGTGTGCTGGAAGCTGTGCAATGAGAAAATGACTGAGCCATAAACAGATACCCATGGCATTCTTTTTCTGCTACACAGTATACTGTACTCCAGTCGACAAGCTGGGAATAAATTGCAGCTTGTGGAAGGAGAATTCCTTCCTTAACTCCTGGTTCCTTGGCAAAGAAAGAACACTTATTTAGCAACTAATAACATGCTCAGCAAGGTGGGTTTTTCTGTGTTTTTTTGTGTGTTTTTTTTTCATTTTACTTGCATGCTTTCTTTTTAGGGTATTATTTTTTAATAAACAAAAAGAATAAATTAAAGATTTGCCAAGTATACATACAGTTGACCCATAGTCAATGGCCATGGTTTGCAAACCCCAAGGAACACCAAGGCCCACCAGAATGTCAAAGACATTGCTCCCTACTGTGTTGGATACTGCCATGTCGCCAAGGCCTGCAGAGAGACAAAAACAAACAAGAACTCTTGGGTAAAAACGAAGTATAAGACCATGTACTAGAGGAAACTAAAGGGGAATGATTGCATTGATCCAAGCCCCCTTGGACTGGCCAGAGTATCTGAGTTAATGAGACAATTTCCATAATCTTTGCATTTCTGAAAGAAGTGTGCAAAAATGTCTCACTCGCAGCTACATCCTCCTCGTGCCGTCGAGAGGCTTTAAGTGGGTGCGTGGTATCCATTCAGCGTATGAGATCAAAGCCAATTAAAAAACCAAGTCTTGTTCTAGGTAGTCTGCAGCCACAGGGAACTTGGAGATTATGCCCTGGATTTAGTATGTGGCCTTTATCTCATGTGAATGATGAAAAGTGATCCTGAAAAGAACCCAACCAAATGGTAGTCAAAGATACTAATCACTTTTGTGGGGCTCGATCAGCAATAATTTCACTCCAGACACAATAAAATGCTAAAGGAAAGAACGAAAAGAATGTATGTTGGTGAAGTCCCTAGGCATTGCTCGAAATCTGCTCCTAATGTTCATCACTGGCTGGCATCTCATTCTACAACCAGCGTCAATGGATGTGAGGAAGGCAGAATTCTTCTCCGCCCCTACTAATTTCCCTTAGGCACTGGCCTAACTATTGAATCACTTCCCCCAAGTGAATACTGGAAAGGAAGAGGAACTCTGATATAAACAGGACATGTCCCGCAAATACTTTGAGAATGCACAGAGTGGAGGCAGACACTACCACACCAGTAGCATCCTCTTGCAGGAAGCAGCTGAGAGAAAAGTTATGCTTTGGATCCATATTATGGCAGTGTCCATCTCTACTTTTTAGATATTTGTCTGCAATCTGTCAGCACACATCTGTCTTGAATCTAAGTAGCACAAATTGCCTGTATTGTCTTTGAGAGAATGGGGCTGCTTTTTGTCAAGCTACTGCTTACCTTCACTTTCAGAGGAAACAACCTCTACAGTAGTTTTGCCTAATACTAAAGAAAAAATAATTTATAGAAGCAGTCTGTTCATATAAAAATGTAACTTGTTTTCCTTCTTCTGCAAAACTCACTTTAGTACTACACATGGAAAACAGGTTTAGTAGGTAGGTGGTTCCATAAGAATCCTGAATAATTCTTTTGCACTGCTTTTTGTGCAATTTTCCTGCACAAAACAAATAATACAACTTGGAAAATTAAGTGTTTTAACCATATAATTCTTTTCAATCAAGTCACATGTAACAGCACTAGCTCAAACTACAAAGGTGGGTCTTCTGAGTACTTAAATTTATCACTTCAAGACCCTTGTTTGCCCAATAATGTGTGCTGGAGATCTCATTAGCTGGAAAAAAAACAAAAGCTATGGGAATTGGAAGAGTGGGAAAGAATACAATTAGGACCTTTTCCTTATTCTACTGCAGTACTGGAGATCACACTGTCAAGTTTAATGTTTTTCAACAACAGGAAGAGATGTGACTATAGGTGTTTCTCGGATAACAAAAGGAAAAGGAAAGAACCTTAATCAAAACTTAAAGCCTTTGACAGTTTCAGTTGGAAAGCTGAGGAGGACATGGCTGACATTCATCTAAACCTCCTTCCAGTGTGGCTAGTCATATGTCCCAGTGGGAAAGAGATCTGTGCATTTGGACGGGAAGTATGTCTGGAGCAACATCACTTCTGCCAGATCCTCTTAAACCTCATTTCCCTGGGTTCAAGAGGTCTTCTAGAAATCAGTACAATTCTTACACGGACAAGTGCTGGTCAGCATGTATTCTTCAATGCAGCTTTTTAGTAGATGATATTCCAGCTTTGTCTACTAATTTTATCTTTTTATCCTGACTGTTATATACCATGCATGGGATATATGAGTATTGAATGACCTTCTAGAATGCTAGGGTGTGCCTGGTCCCAATAAGCAAAAGATAACAGGACAGGGATTATTTTTTTTTGGTTCACGATAATTAGCAAAGTGTTTTGGCTTCTAATGAAGCTCTGAAACAGTAAAAAAAAAACAAAAGAAAAAAAATTCTTTGAGAATTTATGTGTACAGAGAAAGCAGATCACAGAATGTACGTAAGATTGCAGTTATGCTTCAGCATAGTACCTTGTCTTGCTACTATTAAGCTGGCCATGCAGTCTGGGACGCTTGTTCCCGCAGCTAGGAAAGTAATGCCCATGATCACATCTGGTATCCCAAGGGTGTATCCAATCACGGTCACCTGAACAGTGAGGAAAATAGATTAACCTATCAAATATGAAAAGTCTCCTCATTCCAATACAGTTGTGGCACACTCTTAACTTTGATTTCTGGTGTGGACCAGAAGAGGATTAGACTTGGGATACTTATCTATTTCTGCAAGCTAAATAATTGCAGAGTTCAGCCTAAAACCAACCCTGTGAAAAGGAGAATTACTGTGGGTCATATTACTCAACATTTTATGGGCAAACAAAAAGCTCAATTTTCTGTAATTCTAAGAGGACATACTGATCTTTTAAGAAGGAACACAGACATAATCCAACCTGTGGGCTTTATTTATTCCCAAGAATGGCAAGATTCTTACTGGTTCTATTCTCAGAAGGACTGCAACCAATTTATATTGTAATATAGGGGCAGAGATATAAAAAACTTGTTTTATTTCAGCACATGAAGAAGGTGGCAGTTTCTTGCATGACTTCTGATATAATCCCAAAGTGAGCAAGGCTGGTTATATTGTCCCCTGATAGTCCAGATGCAGCTTTAAGAGAGCTTAAGGAATGGCTGAAGCTTGTAGTAAAGCTCTTAGAAAAGCCAGGGAACTGTATTTAGCTGGAACAGGCTGAAAAAGCATCAAGCAAAAAGGCTGAACAGGCAGCTGAAAAGGAAAGAGCCTTGTGAGAGTGACAAGACTGAATCAGGGACAGGCAGCTGCTTCCCTGCTGAGATTGCTAAGGGTGGAAGTCTTCAAGGCTCTGCGCTGTTTTCTTGAAATAGTTGCCAGTCTTTTACATGAGGAAAACTGGACTGTTCTCCAAAGAAAATGTTTATTTCAGGAACCCACCCAAAAACCTTATTCTCAGGGGCAAGCTGTGACTCAGAAATAGAAGTGAGCATGATTCTCCTGCTGCAGGTGGTAAGGGGATATTAAGGTCTGGCTGCCTCTTAAAATAAGCTGTGCTGTAACCTTGGTGAGTACCTCTCTCCGTTGTGAAGGGGATATCTACAAATGGAACCAAGGTGTAGAGCGTGGCCTTGCAAAGGACATATGGTGCGAAACAAATGTGTAGCTTTGGCACCATTATGCCAGGCAGAATGAGGGACTGGCACAAGAATTTCTCCAACACAGTCTATGTTAAGAGAAAATGGGATTACTTTACAATGCAAAACTTACTGATTAAGTTGGAAAAAGCATACGGAAAACACAATTGTGAAAGGAAACATAAATAAAAAGCCGTTCAGAAATGCCAAACATATTTAAGGAAGGTAGAGATGTTCTCCACCCAAAAAAGATTTTGCAGGTAAAAAGCTCATGAACAAAAATCCTTCCACATGCAGGACTAGACGAGTGTGTGCATACATATATACACACACACATATATATATGTATGACTATGAGTGTATATATGTGAGAATATGTATATATTCCAGTATGAAACCAGCTGAAGGTTTCTTCACTGTATTTTCCTTTAAAAGTAAAAATGGACATACGAATTCTTCAGCAGCGCATCTTACCAATTTTCCAGTTATAGGTACATACAACCTTTTGATTTTCCATCTTTTAGTGAAGAAACAGGTAACTTTCTATACCTCAAAAGTATGGCTAATTCTTCCATCACAGAAACTATTTGAACTATCCTACTCTTTTCTGAGACAAAACATCAACTTGAGAAAGTGAAAGAAGGTAAGAAAAAAACCCACTAGCAACTTATCCAAACCTTCAAGTAAGCATCCTCCTGAATCAACAACAATTTACAGATCTACACCTGATATATTGCTTCTCACAGATCACAATACTCCTCATGAAGAAGGATTTTCTTGCATTATTCCAGTCAACTTGAAGTGCTTTACACCACTTCTTAGCTCTCAAATTGTGCCATCAATCTGCTTTTTATATATGTTTCATTATCAGACCCTGTAGCCAAATTTCTAAAGGCGTCTCAGCTTCCGAGAGTTTAACATATTAATTTAAACTCCCTTTCACCAGTAGGATGTGAATATCCACATTCTCTCAAAAATCAAGCTGGCACCTTTCTGTACTCTATTGGGCCCTATACAGTAAAGGCCCAGTTACCTGTGCAGAAAGGAGTGGCAGAAAGCTACAATTATATTAATTAGAGTACGAGCTGAAGAGACTGGTCTGCAATTACATGCCTTTCTTTAACAAACACACAAAAGATCTATTATCTATTTTGAGATGCACATTTCACTCACTATGGGAAGTCAGATGCTACAGACACTTACCATCCACACCATGAAGTAGGAGAACAAGGCGATCCACAGAGTGGAAAAGACGAATGTGACCATAAACCACTTCTCCCACCGTGGTTTGCTGCAGTTGGGAATGGTGCAAAAGAGCACTAATATCAACGGCCACGTCAAAATCCATTTAATTTTGTTCATTCTTCCACCTGCAGGACAAAGAAATGAAAGAACCCATTTGGCTTTCCCATCACTATCCTATGCCCAGTTGCACCTCTCTGAACACAGCAAATGATCCCAGAAAGATGTTTACAACTGGGCATGTCAGCTCATTTTCCAGTATACCTTTCTTCTACACTTGGTCTCATCACTCTCAGCTAAGTTCTGTATGCACAGCCAGAATCCTATAGTTAAGCCTGCCAAGGTCTATGTAAATCCATGAAAGAAATACGATTATTTAAAAACATGGCTGATTTTAAAAATAAAATTAACAGACAGGTTTGTTGCTCTTTCAAACACCTGTATTACTATTAATGCAATATTAAAAAAAACAATAAAACCAAACAACCAAAAAAACATGCCCCCCCTCACCTTTTGAAAAGATGGAAATCCCTGTAGTGAAAATAACCTGTTACCTGCTGCACAGCAACAGAAAATACTTTCACAGAGAACAGACACATAGACCCATCCTATGAACATGATAAGCTTGTTTCACATCTCACCCTGAGATGGTCTCATCCTCTATAAATAGAAATTGAAGATACTGACTTCTCCCGTACAGCTCTCCAATATCAACTGGTGAGAAATCTGGAGAACTCTCATTATTGAAGAGACATACATATCTTTTAAATTTTTTAAAAATGTAAAGTATTGTAATCATTCACATAAATCTCACAAGATAAAATCAAAATAATTTATAACTGGGAAAAAAATAAATGGGGCACTTATATTTTTATGTTTTATGACATATCCTGCAAGTAGGATTATAAATTTGCTTTCCAGGCTAAACCAGAGTACCACAACTACCAACACACTGGCTTTTGTTTGGGTTTTCTTCACATTGTTTTACAATTATGTTTGTAAGGACTTCTATCATTAACTGATAATGACATATAGGAGATCTAACAAAATACCCCATTTTGAATAAAACGGTTGATCACATTGAAGAAATTCATTCCAGTGAAGTTACTCAACTAAATTTTAACACGCAAATAATAATCAGTAAAAGCTCTTATCAATTTCACTGGGAATTGTCTTTCAGCAAAGACATTGGGATTTAGGATTTCTTTAACAGCCCTTTTTCTCAGTGAATTTAATTAGATTGGAATGTGTCCTCTGGACCAATGTGCACCAAATGCAATCAAATTAAACATTAAACATTTAAAAATTAATAATACTTTTGTAATTTATGAGGCTGGTTACTAGCCTAATTTAACATGGTGAGGCCAAATGCAAGTCTTTATTCATTTACTTTGGCACATACTCTAGTACTAAATTGTCTTGTTTAAGTTATAAATCAGCTCCTTAACTTGAGATTTCTTTGTGAATTCTGAGATTCCATCAACCCACCAGGAAACCTTAGACAAAACCTGGCTCTTTTTTCCCATGTACCTTGTGGCTGTGGAACTTTCTATCACATAAAACTACTTAAGTGTCCTCGGGTAAATTTTAGTTCTAGAATTCTGCGTGTAACTGAGGGTCTACTACAGATTTCACAGGAAATTCCTTTTCCTCTCTGGTTACATATATTGCTACACAGATTTTTAAAACAGTTATCTTTTATGTGTTCTGTCCAGAAAATGACGCTTGTTAGCTTAATTCAGTTAACAAGGCTGTAAATATCCTATGGTAATTTATAACTCCTCCTGTTCAATTTGTTACAGTTTGGATCTTTAGAAGACTCCTGGCTAGTTGATTTGTACTCTTTGTCTATGCAGGTCACCAAGCCTGGTTCATAGTCAAACAATTCAGCATGGCTAGACCACTAATTTCCTCAGTGTGTAATTCCAAATGCCAGGTGAGTGGGCGACTGTTTAACAGGAAAAAATTATGGATCTGATTCTGATCCGATGTGGGTGTAATCTGACTGACTCCAGTGCTGCTACACAAAGGAAATTCAGTCCCATTTCTCTTTTCAATAACATGAATAGAGGAAACAAAATTGCCTGGAGAAGAAACAGTGAATAAATAGATGCACTCAGCCTCTGCTGAGGAATATGCATCTTGTCAGGGGTCCTGTGTAACGCGCTGAACAAACGCTTAACTGTGAGAATTCACAGCGCCTTACCACTGTGCTTGCTCAGTTCCAGGAAAAACAAAATATTTATCTAGGAGGACTTGCCTTTCCCTTAGCCCTGCTCTGTTTGGATCAATGTGTGTCAGATTAAAATTCCTGGCTCTATTAGTGTCCCGGGTTTAGCTAAAAACCCAGTCCTGTTTACTGATTTTTACTTTTCAGCTCAGTCTCTTCTAAGAGGCTGCACTTTCTGAAGTCAGCAGCATGTTTTTGCAGACAGTGTGTGCTACTGGCTGTGATAACACCTGATGTTTACAGTTACTGCCTGGGACTGGGATGCAGAAAGGCTCTTGCTTTTAGTTATTCCTACAGTGACCAAGGCCACTGCTGGCTCTTGTGTGCCACACTGGGGGTGCTGGGTAGTAAGAGGGGTCACAAGGAAGTAAAAGGTTGCACCTCCAGGGAGTAACAGACAGGACAGGTGACCAACGAGAGTATTCCATGCCATACATGTCATATTTTGTATAAATTGAGTGATCACGAGAGTTTTGGCCCCCCTTCCTCTTTGCCCTTTTCTGCAATGGCCGGTGTCCAGGGAGGACTCCATCTGACCTCCTGCTTTTGAGGAGGCTCCGCTGAGCCTGGGGCTTCCCCAGTGCCTCCTGCTCTGCAGCATCAGTGGGGATTGATACCAGGGGAGGGAGTCAGGTTTGATATTGGGCTATTATCTATAGTTGTATATAGTTCTTTACTTTTATCATTGCGCTATTATTTCTATTATTGTTTCATTAAAGCTGTTCTAGTTTTTTTAATTCTCTAACCCAAAAGTCTCTCTGCCTCATTCCCTTTTCCTTCCCATTTAGCGGGGGGGAAGAGGGGGTTAGAAAGCGTCTGTCTGTCTTAGTGGCCGGCCCAGCCCTAATCCATGATAATTAGCAGTGAAGCTTTATCCACACAATGTCATGAGTCAGAACTGGTTTTTTACTGACAGATGATTTGTGGAAGTGACATCACGCTTGAGACTTAGTGGAACAACTACATGCAATTCTGGGTTTTGCTGAGGTAACAGAGAAGTTGTCTGGACATTTGCAGCTAGCCTGAAAGAGTTCTGAACCATGATGGCCAAAGAAGCCTACCTGACAAACTTTAGACTGGCTTCTCTCTTGTGTCAGGGTTTGCTAGCTTTTATAAACTTTTATATAAATCCTTAAGTATATCTAGGCTTGGTTTTGCCTCAGGTCATTTTCTTCAGCTACTACTATGCTGGGTCATCATACTTGTGTGGCAGCCAGTGCTGGAGAATTCTACTCTTACACTGTAACCTGGTAGTTTTGTAAGAATTTAGTAGGTAAGTTTACCAGCAACCTCAATAGAGTGAGACTATTTCCACAGAAAGCAGGTGACTTCATTCATTTCACCTGGCTTAGATGAATGGACAAAAAATACAGAGCCTGAAAATAATTTTAAATTTTATCTCTTTTTAGTTCTTTTGAAATTACTTCTTGTGCTGTTCTTTTGGTTTTGACCAGCCAGTCTAAAACAATAATAATAATTCAGCTACAAATTTAGGTATGATTTTAATTCATGACAAAGTGTTTCATGGTTGTTGCTAAATTTCCTACTACATCTGCAAGGAAGAAAATTATCATCTTCATTAAGGCTATTTTTCAATACACAGATGTTATGCAAGAAAAGACTGTCCCATTGCAGACCTTAGCTCAGTTGCTTTAAAAGCAGTACCAGCCACTCTTGTGAGCCCTAGATCTGACGGATGCAGTGGTAACCTACATAGCTGAGAAAAGGTGTATTTTTTGTTGTACCCCTCACAACAATAATGAAAGAATATTGCTTTATTACAGAAAGCAACACTGATCTATATTCTGTTCACTTCATCCTGTGGTAATACAGAAATATGAGATTTTTTGCATGAAGTTGTTTTTCCTACTTTAGACATCCATTTCTGTTTCTCCAGATATCTGGAAACCAAGCACGCCAGGTATTTCAGAGAGGTATCATTACAGAAGAGCCTGATTACAATGTTTCTGAAAATGAAGCAGCAGCCCTACAACAAAGAGCCCTTTGCTAATTTTCAATACATTTCTGGGCTTGTCATCTTTCCAGATGTTACACTCACAATAATTACTTTCACATAAAGATAGTGTCCTGGTAGATAGTCAACAACACACATCACGGCACTGAAAGGAAACAATTATTTCCTTCAGGCACTAAAGAAAGTGGCTTTTACAGGAAAACTATTGTCTTATTTGGAACATACACACAAGGTTGAGGAGGGGCACAGTACAAAGTGTTTTTATTCAGATCAGGAACGTACCCTTGAAGTAAATCTCCTAATTGCCCCCATTTTAGTTTGCAATTTACTCTATTACAGTCTGCAACACAGAGCAGCCTTGAATCACACCAGTGAGAGCCTCTTGGTATAAAGCTGAACCAGGGGCACAAACTTGAAAGTGCTCCAAATAATAATGGGCATTTAGTCCAGGGGTCCAAGCTAGAGCTAGTCTGAAATAGAACTTCCAAATGCAGATAGTGCAGACAGCCCACATGTCCTAGTCAATAAGCTGCAGAGCAAATACTTTTTCTGAGTTCAGACAGACTGAGGTCTGCAACTACACTGCCAGGAGTCAGATCTAAGTTACTGTAGTTAGTCAAGTTGATAGCTTTTCCACTTAGTCTTCCCTTTAATAGTATAGCAGTCAAGCACAGACCACCACTCCACACATCAGCTACTTAAGAACAGGCTTAAACCTTCACACATGAAAGAAGAACTTCCTTAAAGAAAGCAATTAGTAGCTGACTGAACTAAAAAATTCAGAACATACCTGAAAATCACGAATCTAACCGGCATACAGGATTTGCATAACTATATTGTTACGAAATCATATAAATTTCTAATTTAAGGTAACTTGAAAAATGGCAGTTTTTTCCTAATTCAACTTTACCTGCACAATGGGA